TTGGGAAAAATAACAGGTGAACAATAAAGTAAAACAGGGAAAACACACTGATATACAAAGTTGGAAATAATTGATTGTGGAATACGAAACGGACGAAGTTTATGGATATAAAAACAAAGTCGTCGAAGCTTACTGACGATGTGTTGAATTTGAGATGTTCAGTGAAGATTAGTATCAATAAAAACGCCCAGGTATTTAATACAGTTTACCCCTAATACTGGTTCGGAACCAATCGATACCGGTTCAGATGAGAAAGAAGGGCATGATAGTGTAAAGAGACATTCGAAACATTTGGAGGGATCAAGAGATAGGTCCCATATGGCGGAAAACCGTTGAACGTTATCCAAGTCGTCAGAAAATTGTGAAAGACCAGAAGAGTCAGAGATGGCCTAACACAATACCACATCGTCAACATACTCGTTCTGTACCACTTTTTGTGTGTTACATCCTTGCTTTAGGTTGGCTTTAGATATTTTTCAGCCCTTGCTAGGCTTATGGTAGCTCTCCAGTGTTTTTATCCTTACTTTATTGTAGCATCCGCCCAGTTAGAACTCCTACAGCTTGATTTTCTTACCATACCGATAACTAATTCCCACCCGGTATCCAAAATTGGAGCTGGAGTCAGAACAGCCGTTACCTTAATGTTTTGTGCGCTAACCGAAATTGTCGGTTATCAATCCAGTTTTATAACTGCACTCACGCCATGTGTAAATAAACTCACTGTTTGCAAAAGACATTACTCCTTACCTTCCTATTGAAGTGCACCACACAGTACAATGGTTTGTGAAAACCGATCATCCTGCAGTGGGACAAAGGCTGTGTCTAATGAGAAGAGGGAATTCCCATGTTGAAGCAGTGAGTGTAGGAGGAACATAGGAATATGCTATGACTTTTGTGCACAATGGTTTCGCCGGTGCTGCAGCGAAATTTCAACACAAGCATTCCAACTGTACATATGCCGTAGGGTTCTGAAGTGGATTTCCCGTTGTGCAGTGAGCTACTTGATAGCCGAAGAGAAGAGAAGCAAGCCATAGGGAAATAGGACCTAGTCTCGGAAATGGGTGAGGGCTCAAAATACATTGCTACCACAAATCTGGACGTCACTGTGATCGATTGCTTTGCACAAGGCACTGTCGTGGAGTGTATAGCCGAGGTCATCGAAGCCACCGATTCCGCTCTGAAAATGGACATTACCCTGACTGCAAAAAAGAAAACTAAGCGCAAGAAAAAACACAATGGAACGGGCTTCCTAAAACGAAGGGATCAGAGCCCTAAGCGGAGTCTCACCTCGAAAAAGTTGGACTAAGTAGTTTCAGTCATAAGATTGAACAGCAGAAAATAGCGCTGCAGAGGTGAAGAGAAGACAACACTATACTCCAGAGAGCTACCACAAACCTCATAGCCAAAACTGAACTCGCACTGGGTAGGAACCGAAATCCCATCATCCATGGAACCCCCAAACCAATTATGCAACAGAATAAACACAAGGAGCACCATTTAAGGGGACGTATCAAGGTCCTCCTCCGTACAGTTAAAATCCCTGAGCATGTGCCAATTAAGCGAATTCTAAGATTAGGAAAGTGGAAAGAAGAAACCGGGGAAGCCAAAGGCCACAACCTACCTTGTTAGAATTTGGGAATCCAAGACACCGGGACCATGTACTATCATCGTCAGAAACTATAATAATAATAATAATAATGTATATTTCACGAAACCCGTGAAGCATGCACAAGGCATGAACAAGGAACATTCCCAATCAAGAAGCCTTGAGCTCAAGGGTACAATTTCATCACGAGCGGGTACTCCATACAAGACCTTTAAGGATGAAATGTGATCAGGTCTAGAAGAAGCTATCACCCCGACAAAGATGCGAGACATTAGGAAACCTAAAAGCGGACCGACTCTAACTTTAGGGGTAGATTATCAAGCGCAAAACGCGACGAGACCTCGGGTTTAGTGTCCGGGGTCCTAATATCCTCTAAAGACCCGTACGGAGGGAGGGGAGAAAGGCTGTATGTTGTGTACACCAACGCATGCAGTGTAGGCAACAAGTGACCTGAATTAAGGACAGAAGCGAGCCACGCGGGTAAAATAGTTGTTGCCGAAACTTGGCTCCGCCAAGATGTAGTAGTTGACCAACTCCGTCCATGTGACTTCTGTGCATACCGATCAGACAGGGAAGATGGGAGACAGGGAGGAGGGTCGCTAATACTAGTGGCCCAGCATTGTCACCAAGAGCCGGGAGAGACACTGACCACGG